ATTGTTGCTGCTTTTATGGTTTTTATTCTCGAAGGTAGACTCATTGTGAGGAACTTTTCTTTTGGTACCAAAACTAATTATCTCTTGACCTTGGTGTTTGACCTGCAAACGACAACATTCATCATAAGCTGCAATACGAGTGTGATATTATGAAATCTATTTGTATATGTATTTACTTGTTTTTATATATTTTTTCCTATCGTTTTGAGAAAAAAAATCTTAAATTTGTTTAACTAAAAGTTCAATTGCGCATCTGAATTGAGTTGCCTGATTAAAGTTTTATTCTATGATTTCATTGGCTCTTTCATTTGATTGGTTATTTCCTATCTTTTCCTCCAATAATCCATTTTCATTATAAGTATAAATTTACCTCGCTTTATATTGTACATCAGAGCAGTAATACGTTTTCCAGAAAGAAGTATATTTTAAATCCAGTATCCATTATACGCATTTAATGGTATGTAACTTGAATATTTGATTATGTGTTTCCTTACCATTTAAAGATTTGATTTTTGTTATTATTTTGTTTGCACACGTTTCAATTCATTGTATTTTTGCATTCAAAGTTGTAACTGAATAGTAATGGGTCTGTAAGATTTCAATTTAAATTGTTAACAGTACACATTTTTTCATGGAGTTATTTTTTCTTGAAGGTATACTGTAGGTAAATTATCTCATATGTTATTTTCTCAATTTTCCTAATTTTGACTTATTTGTTTATTTTAGATCACTGCCTTTATTTCTTCAATAAATTATCCTGCGGGACGTGGAGACCGGTCCTTCGGATGAGACCGTATAAACCGAGGCCACGTGTCGCACTAGGTGCTGGCACTAAAAAGATCCCTCACTGCTCAAAGACCCTGAGTGCCCATCTTAGGACAAAATTTGTAACCCTCCACCGGCATGTGGTGGCGTCCCCAGATGTGTGAAAAATTCTCGAGAGGGACGTTAAACAACATACAATCAATCAGTAAATTATGAAAACAACATCTGCCTTACTGCTGTTATCATTCGTTTCGGAAAAAATTAATTTATTTAACTAAAAGTTCAAATTTGTCTACATTTAGTCTACATTTTTTTTATTTATGTACCATGGTCTACACATTGCAATAGAGAAAGACCTAACACATATATCGATGTTTGTGTCATTACTTTAATTAGATGTAGTCTTAGAAATGCAAAGATAAATGCAAACATATTGAGTAATGCCCCAGCGCGCGTTATTAAAATTCATTTGCACAGATAGTTGCAGATATTAGACTACATCTATCAAAAAATTATGAATCAGTGCTTATATATTTACTTTTTCTTACACCTTGTCTTGTTTTGCAAATTTGATTTATTATTTAGAATACTTGAATTATCTCTAACGTAAGTAACAATCAATCTAAATAATTATTTTTTTTATTTTCGCTTATGACTTTGCTTTTGCACGGCATTGAACGTTTTTGACGTCAGAATAAACACCTATTACACATTGTAACTTTCTGACCACCGTTCTGTGTTATGGTGTTTTGAAATAAAAAAGAAAAATTGCAGTATCGATATAAGTTTACTATGGCATATCTTGTGCATTCGAGAGCAGAACTATCTATTTTTTTTTAAATGATAATCTGTAGCAATAAAAGGTATTGATCTTCAGAAAATGTGATTTTTTTACTTTAAGGTATCCGATCCATATTAGCCTCAGATTCAATGGAATTGAATGCATAATAGATATGTATGGGCTGATTAATCAGTGTAGTTAGAACTAATTTTCATCTTTTAGTATAAGAATGTAAGAGTGGGACATGTCCTAATTTATGACTATTTCCTGCCCTTGACGAGTTATTTCCCTTTGATTTTACTTAATAAAAATTAATTTAAAAAAAAATCTGTCAGGTGAAAAAATTATTTCTAATTATTTTTCTATTCCTAATGATCAAATACATCTTTCCACCACAGCATTTTTTGATATTTGAAGTATTTATTTTTCTATCTTAAAAAACTTACTTCCTTCCATAGAGTTCAATGCAATCTTCAATAATTAATTTCTGCTTAGGTAATAAAATTTTTGAAAATTTCTCTTGGTAAATTCCTTTCTACTCTAAAATGCTTGAAAATAATATCAGGATATTTTACAAACAATTGCTATTTAAGGTTAGAAATTTTGGTCCTAATATGAGTCGGATACCTTAAGATCATAATCTAGTATTATTGTGAATCTAGTATCATTGCGTTTCTTGCCTCACCTAAAATTCAAGCTATTTAAATATATTTCTTGTATAATTAGATTTGTGGAAAGAAATTCTCAGTACGTTTGACCTCAACTATTTAGCTTATTTTCGCCATGATATTAAAATTAACAATGTGAATTTAAGTGGGTTTTGTATAGTAAATTAAAAGATAATAAATGCTCATCTATTCAAAATAATGTATGGGTGGAAAACGAAAAGGGTATATTTTAGAGAAGCATAATCTTATACGTATTATACTTCAAAATATGAACATCAAATATAAGTAATATTTTTATAAACATCTTAACATCTTTATTGCATGAAACCTGTCTTATCCGACTTGCACGGGGAAGAGAGATTACAAATGTATGTGTCGGAATAAACAAAGTGTAGCATTGCAGCGTGTAAAGATCGTTGACATAAGTATAAATGAGAAATGAAATTGAATGGCGGACACCACAGTAAAACGTATTGCAAATGTGTCGGTATAAGGAGGAATGCCACACTAACTTTTTATTTTATAGATCTCTTAGTCAACCTTTTTGAACTGTTAAATTGTTTCAGCATTGAAAGGCCGATATTAGCTCTTAATTATTTTATATGAATTTTTTGATTTTTTTCAAAAAAAAATTCAAAGAAATTTTTATATCTAAATTAGATGCTTTCTTGTAAAATTTTTGCTTTAAATGAATGCATCACATGAATACCTAATAAAATATGCAAAGAAAAGTCGTATAGATCTTAAATTTTTTAAAATATATTTTTTTTATGAAAATAAAACACATAATTTGTAAATATTTTTTTTAAACATGTGGTTAAGATCTTCTTAAAACCAGTCACAACTAGGGAGAACATGTTCATTAATCATATTTAAACAAGAAATTGAAACGATATAGCCAAATTTTAGAGAATTTTTTTTTTTTATTTTGGCCAATCCCGATCAGAATTAAACCGATCCCAACAATAATTGTACAATTGTTGGAAATAAAAAGTATTTCCCCAAGAACACTAGTCTGATTAGGTTTCATGAGGGTAAAAACATTATTGAACCTGACAATAACATAGATTTCTTAATTGTAAATACACGAAGAGGCAATAAACTAACATTTTATTCATTTTGTGTTAATTTTGATCGGGATCAGTTTAATTTTGATCGGGTTAGGTCGAAATATAAAAAAAATAATTTATCTAGCATTTCTTAATTTTGTTTCAATTTCTTTTAAAAAATATAATTGACAAACATGTTGTCCTTAGTTGTGACTTTTTTTATAGTGTTTTAACCATATGTTTAAAAAATATTATCAAATAATGTGTTTTATTTTATTAAAAAAATTCTTAATAACAAAATATAAAGTATAACCAGCCTTTCTTTACATATTTTATAAGATATTCATATGATTCATGCATTTACAACACACATTTATCTCGAAAACAACTTATTTGGGTATAAATAATTGTTTGTTTGTTTGTTTGTTTTTTTTTTTTTGTTTTTTGGTTTTTTTTTTAAAAATTACAAAAAAATTAATATAAAATAATTAAGAACTAATATCGGCCTGCAATGCTGAAATCATTGTTTGAAAAGAATGACTCAAAGATCTATAAAATAAAAAGTTGGTGTGGCATTCCACCTTAAGGTTCATTGATACTCTGATAAGAGAGATAACTCTACAGATAAGAAAGATAATTTTCTGCAGACATTTTGTCATGGAATTCAGTGAAATTTTGTGTCAGAGTTTTCAAATCTCTATCATAAGGACCATTTTATAGTTAACTCGAGCAAACATATCCCATCGTTCAGGGGTTGATTTCTAGTTCTATTGCTATTATATTTAGTAATTGTTTTTAATAGTTTACCTAAAACATTTATACCCAGTTCCTTTTAACGGTGTAAATTGAAAAAAATATCTCTAAACATGTAAGTCTTTTAGTTGTACAGACATAACAGCCGCAGAATTGTTTATAACCATTTAATTAATATTTTATTTTATTAAAAAAGAATTTCAAGGGGGATAATGGAACGATTACTCTCGTTTATGGATGCATATTATTTTCCATGCACAGAAAACAATTTGATATTCTGAAAGCATCGCTTCAGTATGTTTTCTAAAGGGAATTAGAGAGGTATGAGAGTAAATATTATTTTTATATATACCTCATATTTCTAATTTAATTGTGAGATTAAAAATAACTGATCTTTCTAATGACCATATCAAATTTTCTTCACATCATAATTTGACATATTATTGATTTCTGAAAAAGTAAGCAACGCTTTATGCTTCAAACTATTTTCTATTTGAATTTAATGTTATAGTTGTTGCTTGTTTGGAATTTTGAAAAAAAAAAAGACAAATATGAAAATATTGTCAATTACGGTTCCACTGTAATAGGTTTGTTAATAAAGGAATCTACATCATAATTATCTGTCCAGACATCTTCATTTATCAGTGTTTGTAAATAACAACGAAATACTTCTAATTTCAAATTTATTACAAAACATATAAAATACATCTTTTACTAAAAACATTCAGTATTGCTAAAACAGTTAAAAACACATTTGAAAATTAAATATTAAAAAAAAAAAAGCTCAGAGATTAAAATTAATTTAAAATCGTTTCAATCCATGGATGATCTTTCGTCTGTTAAAGAAAATTGAATTAATACTTCACAGATACATGTATAATAGCATAGGTTTTCTATTAGAAAAAAAACTTTTTATAACTGAAATTTTCACAGTAATACAAAAATAAAAACAACTCTGTTATATCAAGATTTAATGATGTTTACCTAGTGACGTCTGATCATCATGGTGGTCCCCCTCACTGGTTTCCCACTAATTACTTTAGGAGACCATGGGTAGGACCAGTCCCTCGGGGGCCAGGGGCCGTTAAGGAAGGAGTGGTTGCAGGCTGTGAACCACCAGCCTCCTCTAATGGTACTGGTATCAGCACAGTTACCACCACTCCACCCGTCATTATCTCTCTGGGGTGGTGAAGTACATCCCAGACAGATCTTTGCTAGAAAAACCAGTATCTAACATAGCGCCTCCTGTAAAATTAAACAAGATGAATCCCAGAGATAATTGATTAATATATTTTCAATTTAACTGTCAATAATAATACCGAGGTACTTCTGAAAAGAGCAATAATATATAGTTCAGTCCTAGAATTCCTGGTGTCTATCATACTGGCACCTGCAGAATTTGTGAAAATATAAAACAAAGATATTATTTATTATTATTACTTTACATCACATTAATTAATCTTAATACTGAAGTTCGTCTGAGATACACAGGTTAAAGCTTAGTTCCCTGTAATGAGAGATTGAAAAATACAAGTCAACAAAACACTGCGCAAATCACATAGCATCCTTTGTAGTGTAACAATAAACCAGAGGCGTGGTACACATTTAAAGCATAGTATTTTTTTTTTTTTGGGGGGGGGGGGGGGTAAAGATCACTGGAAATATCAGAAAACATGAATAAATGAAATATTCATATATGTCAGAGACAGTGCTTTTAAAATTGTATGAAATGCAATACGCAGTCAGTCATTCATAATTATAACGATATCAGATATGGTGTACCTGCAAATGTTTTAAAATATTAGATTTTCATTAAATAAAGCATAGGTATTGTAAATGTGAAACACGTTGAGGTGTTTTGATTATGGATTATTAAAATTTATTTTGAAAAAATCTTCGATCATTTTTTAATCATTAAATTTTCGTAAACTTTTAGACATTTAAGATTATGCAAACTTCCTATTTCGTAGCATTTAAAATGTGAATTATTGAAGATCAGACTAGATTTTCATTTAATAGAGAGAAGATAGAGTAAATGTGAAACACCTTGCGGTGTTTTGAATTTCTTTTTTTTTTAATTTGAATATGTTTCCGATCAAATATTTTTTTAACATCATTTTTCTGTGAATATTTTGAAATAATAGATCATTTAATCTCTGTTAACTTCTTTCTCCCCAGTAGTTAAAATTTGAATTATTTAAAATATCAGGAAACCCAAGCTGAATAACAATGGTTGAGCGAATGTAATTACTGGATTTGTTTGATTAAAATAATTACATAGTTTTCCTTGTACATAAAACATATAATTTGAAATTCTAGCTAGCTACTTTAAATTAACAAATTCAACGTCTGCTGAATACGTGAATTGTACCTGCAAATGATATGATGAAATATCAAAAAGTTTAATATCATGGAATCAAAAAAGTATACAGAATAATAGAAAAAAATCTTTTTCTTTTTTCAACAACATAATAATATTTAAATACAGAAAAGTATTATTATGATAATATGCGTAATTTGAACCCAATTTTAAGAACTTAACATGAATACACTTACCTAAGGTCCCCGTGGCAGGTCCTGCAAGAAAGAGTTGATATTTCCCTGGTTCATCTGAGACAGAGAATTGGTCATACATCTCATACAGCGTTGTACCATTCCGGAGAGTTATGGACACATAAAGGGATGTGTTCTTTCCCTTTGTTAACAGATGGATTACATCATTTCCTGCATTAAAATATATTTGAAATCATCTGAAAAGCTTCATTTCAATACAATTAACTCTTTTAAAAATATGAATCTACCATAATCTACCGTAATGAAAAATCAAATTATTTTCCATAGCCGTAGACAAGAATGCTAAATTTGGTCTCATTAGAAAATGCCGCTAGATGATAATCTTCTTTTCTATTTTATTTAACAATGAAAAGTTCGCTGTTTTTTCACTTAGTTAATGCCTGTTATGTGTGTTGTTGCACAGTGTTTCTTTTTATCATTTGCTATCTTTAAAATATGGAATTATGCTTTATTTATTTTTGAACTAATTTCTTCGGATCACAACAAACACATCTTCGAGGAATGGAGACAGCATCTAGTACATCTTAGAAGGATGTAGGCAGCAATGAGCACATTTTAAATGACGTAGACAGCACCGTACACATCTTAGTAGGACGTAGATAGTACAGAAGGTTTCATTCTTTTTATTAAATTAAATTAAAATGAACATTTGTAACCATTACCTTTTTTTAAAATAATTTCATTAAGCATGGTGTAAAAAGTTCGAAATCATTTAATGGAGTTCTCTTAAGATTACGTCTGATCGTATATTTGCGTCCTCGGAAGACATCTAGATTTATCCTAGACCTTCAACAGCCAAATATATATGTCGTACCTTAATTATTTAGAAAAGCGATTGGTTGACTGTTATGTACTCTATATTTTATTGTTATATATGTATAGGTTACATTATAGATGTCTAGTACTGTTGATTACATCTTTTTCATGGGGCATTATTTCCGCCTCCTAAGTGATATATGACGGGGCTTGGAAAGTATTATTGCATATTCTATATGTATTATATCACCACAGAAAGATCAAAGAAAATAACTGCAGATCTGCGACAAGTATCGATTTTATTAAAGTTCATATTAATTGTCATAATAGTTTAATTTGAAAGATAGCAATAAAACGTGTGCTGTTTTCTCACTTAGTTAATGCATGCTATGCTGTGATGTTTTGTGTTCATTTTCTATCTTTCAATTAAATAATTTTTTGAATGAAATAAAGAAAATCAGCTATTTCAAAATAAAACCCAAAGAAATTATTATCTGATGACATTATTATGATTATCAGAAAATTATTAAGGTCAAGATCTAGTAAATAACTTGAGACTAATTTTTTGGTGCTAGATCCATTATGACGTCATAATCAATTTCAACTTTCTTTTTCCCGTACTTTACGGCTTTAGCAGAATTATATAGAAAACAGGGTATTTTCATGTCATTCAATTTGAAATCATATGAAAATTAAACCGGAAACCTATATTAAATTTGATATTGATTTAAAGAGAAGGCCATGAACATACTAATTACCGTTTTCTGAGACAATGTAGGCAATCTGGATACATTTCCCATATTCATGACTGGTTTTCTTAATTTTTCATTGAAAATGACAGTTTAAAATACGGGTTTTCATCTTGTTTACCTACAAATTGTGCCCCGAAACACCTTATATGACCAAGCTGAAGTTGTAAAGCATCAATAAAGGAATTTATTTCTCAAGTTTGATAAATCTGTAGGCACCTTTCATTTACTAGATCTTGACCTTAAGAATATATCGATTAATTTCAACTTTGATACACTAGCCTCCAAATATTAATGTTACACAATATATCATCATAAACATATGAATTTATTTCTTCGGACAACAAGGAGATTATCTTAGAAGGATGTAAACAGTACCAAGCACATCTTACAAGGACGTAAACAGCAACTTATACATTTTAGAAGGACGTAGACAGCACCTAGAACATCTTAGAAGGACGTAGACAGCACCTAGCACCTGAGATCTTGGACGTAGAAAGCAACTTCTACATTTTAGAAGGACGTAGACAGTACCAACGCGGCACTGTTAAGGCCAATTATGTGAAATCAACGGAAAATAGACCTACAAAAAAGGGGGACCTTTTTAAAACGGAATTTATTTTAATTAAGCTGTTTTTTTATCACGGAATTTTCATACTTATGAAAAAAAGCATAGTATAACCCACTTTGTACTATATGACGTTTAGTCCCATCGATGGACAGTCACGTGATGAATGCATAGTTCGTGTACTGAATGTAGGTCATTAACAAATTACAATATTGCAAGGGCATACCCTAGTTGAAATTAAAAAATTCAAACTATTAATTGTTTCTGCTTACTTTGTAGTCTGTGAAAAGTGCTGCTGCTTTGAATAGAATTCGCTTTTTAATACTTAAATTTTCAAGTAAATAGGCCAATGTCGAAATATGTTTGACTTTTACCAAATATTTTGTGTACTTATAAAATCACGCCCTCTATTTAAAGAAAGCAGCAACACTTTACAAGTTAAGGAAAATACCCTTTATCTATATTCAAAAAAATGGTTAAGATCTATGCAGTGCAAGTACGATTTTATGAGACCTCTCGATGTAAAATATACCTAACCTGTAAAGAAAAACACTACGTAATTAATAAGATACATTCTCTTAATAGTTAATTAATAATCGCATTAACAAGGGATATACACTGGTATTAATCGACTATTCAAAACCTGCAAATAATATTCCGTTTAATAATAAAACGCATTTTTCATTGTTAAAAAATAAATTCCTCAATCTGCCTCTCACAGCACAGGTAATACGTCATTTTTGCCAATATGACGTCATGTTACCAAGTTCATCGCGATCAGTGCTTTGTTTATAACCAGCTACAGGGGATTTAACTAGCAACTTTTTTTAATGCATTGATAAGTTACATTGTTGTTTATTATGCTAATACAGTTAAAAATTGCAAATTATTTCATTTTCAGGTATTATGAGAAATATATAAAAGTCTTATTTTTGTTTGACGTCACAGTAAACTTTTCCGGTATGAATTAGGCCCCGCCCCCTTTTTCAAGCCTTAACAATGCTGCGAAGCACATCTTAGAAGGACGTAGATAGCACCTAGCGCATCTTAGAAGGACGTAGACAACACCTAGCAAATCCTAGAAGGACTTTGACAGTACCTAGAATATCTCAGACAGACGTAGACATCAACTTATACATTTAAGAAGGACGTAGACAGCACATAGCATATCTTAGAAGGACGTAGACAACACTTAACGCATCTTAGAAGGATGTAGACAGCAACTTACACATCTTAGAAGGACGTATACAGCAACTTATACATTTTAGAAGGATGTAAACAGCACCTAACACATCTAAGAAGGATATAGATAGCACATAGCACATTTTAGAAGGACGTAGACAGCACCGAGCACATCTCAGAAAAACGTAGACAGTATCTAGCTCATCTTAGAAAGAAATAGACAGCTCCTAGCACATCTAAGAAGGACGTAGATAGCACCAAGCACATCTAAGAAGGACATAGACAGCACCTAGCACATCTTAGAAAAAGAAGACAGCACCTAGCACATCTTAGAAGGACGTGGACAGCACCTAGCACATCTTAGAAGGACGTAGACAGCACCTAGCACAATTCAAAGGGACTTAGACAGCACCGAGCACATCTTAGAAGGACGTAGACAGCACCGAGCACATCTCAGAAAGACGTAGACAGTGTCTAGCTCATCTTATAAGGAAATAGACGGCACCAAGCACATCTAAAAAAAACGTAGAAGGCACCTAGCACATCTAAGAATGACGTCGACAGCAACTAACACATCTTAGAAGGACGTAAACAGCACTTAGATCATCAAAGAAGGACGTAGACAGTAATTTATACATTTTAGAAGGACCTTGACAACACCTACTACACATTAGAAGGACGTAGACAGCACCCAGAACATCTTAGAAGGATGTAAACAGCACCGAGCACATCTCAGAAAAACTTAGACAGTGTCTAGCTCATCTTAGAAGGACGTAGACAGCACAGACAGCACCCAGCACATCTTAGAAGGACATGCACTTGTAAAATACAATTATAAGAAATTTCTTTAATAATGGTCTTTGGTGTGCTAAAAAAACTGTTTTTAAAAATGGAAAGTTCGTACGATAAATGTTCAAAATATAGGGTTCATAATTTTTTTTTTTTTATGAAATGAGACCCAAAGTGGTGAATTGCTAAGACTGCAAATACATATTGCACATATTATTTTAACTTTAAAAGTCAGACGCAATATAATACAATAAACTGCACAGACAAACAAACATGATTTGTAGAGACTACTAAAAATATTGGGTACATGGAATGACGTCATTCCATGAACTTGTATACTACAAGAATGTGGAGGATTAAGTGTTCCTATCCAACGGTCACTTCAGCCATATTCTCCATGAAATGATCGAACGAAGCACGCAAGTGTGTTAAGGCTTAATATAGGTTTTTTATGCAATTGAGCTAATAAAAATACATAAATTGTATATTTTATGTACAGAGAAAGTTCGAATTAATTTTCTTACACATACTTAATACCCTTAGTATATTAATGCAAGTGCACATTATGACGTCATAGTTCTTTCCCATTCAAGGAAATAAAATACATCAACAAAACAGCGTCGGCGCACGGGCATATCCTATTTAATTCAAAACAAATAAAGTATAATATTAAGGATAATATTCTTAAAATTAATAAAATTGCTGCACAAATCCTATGCTCTTCTTCAATCAATAAAAATTTTACTAAACTTACACTGGACTGTACATTTTTACCCTGTTTAAACTTAAAACTGTACGAATAGTAACTAAACAATTGCAGTGTCGACATTTGTGCATCAATATCTTGAATCTTTTGAATATTCTGCTTCTCTTTATACCTTGTTTCTGTAAAACAAAGTAAGGTATGTCCTTGCACCGAAGCGATTTTATTAATGTTTCCTATAAACTTGTGTAGTAAAGGTCGATGACGTCATAATATGACGTTATAATGTGTACTGGCAATCGCATATCGTGGGTACCAAGAATGTATTAGAAAACAAGTCTTAAAATTTTCTTTGCGGTATGTATAGCAATTATGAGTCTTCATTAATTATTTTGCGTAGAAACCTCCATATGTAGCCTTAACTCACTTGCGCAAAAAAAAAAATGTAGACGATTCAGAGTGAGAAATTGGTATAACATTTGTATAGAAATAGCAGATAATATTGGACTTAATCGTGGATCATTATCTGACAAGTTAACTGTATCAATCACAAAATTTACAAAATCTTCACTTAAAGCAAGCTATTGATTTAATTGAATTACCACATATATCCACTAAATAGCCTCGTTTTAGAAGCTGCAAAGAACAGCTCTCTTAGGAATAGATCTTAAAGCCTTCAGTAAACAAATCGGGTGTAATCTTAACGCCTTCAGTAAAACAAGTCGGGTGTAATATTCTTTACAAAGATTATGAAAATAAAGAGTAGATATTGTCTTTATAGTGATAGTTTACTAGGTTATCAGATACATAAGGAAAAAATCTGCATGTGTGATTATAAAAGCATTTACAGCATAAAAGCGGAAAAAATTTACCAAGTCAACAGTGACAGGTCCAGTTGGATGCAGTTAAATTTTATAAGGAAATATTTTCTGGTTTAAAATATCTATAAATAAACTTGCTTATCAATACATCTTAGCATGCACGAATAACTTGATTTGCGGTTAATACCACTGTATAAAATTGCCGTGCAGTCTAGATACGTGGAGAGGTGAGAATAAAAAATCAAAACAGATTAGTGTAAGGTAGATTTATTATAATGACAATTTTATAAACTTCGTAATACTTTTTTTTTTACATTTGTTTGTGTTCAATTCCTACCAAAATTGAAATAAACTTGAAAACTAGAAATCGCACAACATTAAGAGATTTGGGTGTAAATTCAAAACCACCCATTCGATCAGTGATTTAGAATTGTAAAAAAATATGAAATAGCTTACACGGTCAGATTTGTTGATATGGTATGTTGTGTCAAATATAACATTGTTTAATGTATTATTTATCATTGTATTTTATTGTAATTTTTAATAGAAGACCTCAAGGAAGAATAGTGCTCGCACTAATTGGGTCCCCTCTTAAAATAAAGTATTATTATTAGTCAACATTCATTTCAAAGATGTGTATCAGTTACACTCTTTTATCACAAAATAGTTTTGCGGATCTGGAATTTCTGATTTCTATGGTGAATTACTTACGGGGAAATATATACAGACAACGAGCAGTATTCAACTCCAAAGTTTCTGAAAACAACAAAAATTAGGAGCTGAGCAAAACCGTCTTTTCAAACATCAAAATAATGATCAGTGATGATTGAACATTTCCAGCAGATTCGTCACAAACTCAGTTTGATCCTTCTTATGATAAAAAAAAAACAATAGAAAAAACTGTCGAATGTAAAAATTCTATCCTATCCATTAATAAGAAGAAGAACAATCAGTATTGCATTTACTAGGTAATAATAAATTCTATTTGCTGACAAGAGCATTGTATCAACTCTATTAAAAAAATTACAAAGACAGACAATGTTATTACCTGCTTTGTCAGCTGGTCAAGTACATACAGACTAGATACTTTATCTAATTCTTTTTTACTTCTGAATTATTTAACAAAGGAAAGGAAAATGTATTCTACTGTACTGATCTATTCCCTGTAGTTTAACACAGGAAGTGATGAGTTATTAGTTATCATTAATATGAGATGAGTTAAGGTCATATGACAAAATTCTTACAGTAATCAAAAAAAATATCAGTACTTAGAAATATGTGTTAAACCATGTATTGCGTTTGTAAATGACTTGTTTACGTCACTACTATTTAGAAAATTATTTATTCACAACACAATAAATGGATTTGATATATCAAAGAAAACAAATGAATCAACCCTCCTCTAGAATATTATCTTTCATAAATATAAGATTAAAAAAGATCACATTGCAACACACAAATGACATGGATGATAAATAAGCATAAGCTAATTTAGCTAATAGATGACTATTTAATTAAGGAGATTAACAACTTGTGCACAATAAAATACACATATGATTTATACGGATATAAACTAAAGAGAACAAAAAATAAGAATCAGAAGCGCATCATTCTTTTTATTGCGGATGAATAAACGAAAATCTAGCACATTCATTTCTCTCTCTCTCGTATTGGAAAGTGGATCTTCAGCTAAGAGTTTGTAAATGTCCCTTTCATCAGCAACAGAAAACTGTTGATAAAGTTCATACAAAGTGGTATCATTTCGTAATGTAAAAAAGACATAAAGGGAAGAGGTGTTCCCCTTTTTCACCTGATGGCTAGTGGCATTGCCTACAAAATGTCGTTTTAGTATTAAGAGTCAACATCAGCAAGCATCGAGCATTCAGTTAAAAAATGTGGAAAGTGGCATAGAAACAGATTTGGTTAAAACTCATTTATAAATTTTCAGAACAAAGGGAATGATACAAAAAAGCAAGCAAAAAATAATTTTTCGCATTGTTGCTATGGAAACCACGCGCCTTTCAGATAGCGTGTTTTGTACTTTATCATGACACTTGAATTTATGGTTAAGCAAATACTTTTTTATTACTAGTCATTAAAAAAAGCTTTTTAAATTATTATTTTATTTATATAAATATACTCTATTTTAGCAGATGTTGATTTTTGAAATTCTCTTCACCTTATGATAAATATAACTAGTTTTTGGAGGTTTATTTTGCTTTAAAAAACAGCAAATTTGAAGTACTTTATAAGAAATCTACAACCACATTAAAGCTTATCAACATAAAATATATATTAAACAGTATTTCGTCTATAAGAATCAAGAAAAAAATCTGCAGGCAACTAAAGCATTTATATATGATAACTGATTTAAATCCATAATTTTCTGTCTTTTTTGCTTCAAATTACCTCCCTTTGGTATAGCTCTCTAACATAGGAGGAATAAACGGTAGTTTGCTTATATTGTTTTCAATAACATTGTACAGAAGACTAGAAGAAAATAAAAACTTGGAGCAGTCTGAGCCTCAGTTTTGGCGTTTTCATGAGTCTTAATTACGGTTAGTGACTGAATTTTTTACAATTTACCATTACAACAGTTTCTGAAGAATGTATAACAAAAATTAACCATGCAGGAAAATATGTAACACTTGGCAAGTGTTTTTTGAACATTTCAATTCAATTCTGATTGATTATATATGTTAGCATTACTTTAGTTTTTTATAACAAAAAAGAAAAGATTATGCATGTCCCGAGGAACCAAGAGGAGGGGGTATGCACCCCCCCCCCCTCCCCGATAATATTGCCGATATTAAACTATAATATGATAAAATGAAATTAAATTCCCCAACTTAGATTGTTTCTGCGGGCCGAACGTGAAAAAGTTGGTCATGATCAGTTACATAACTGTATCCCAAATTATAAAGTTTAATTTGAATTTAGTTTAATTTTGATTTGTTGTATTCACAGCATGTGTGTAACCAAGTCACTCACCAGCCAATCGGCAATCCTCGGCTGACTCCGCTTCGCTCCATTCAATTATGTGCGAGGTACGAGTCATCCGAGGAACTCCGATTGCTCACCAGCTATAATGATTATAACTTG